AAACTATATATATATATATATATATATATATATATATATATATATATATATATATATATTAAGAATACAAATCATATGGCGAATAACAGTCCTTTCAAGTGCATGAGATCCAGCAAGGGATCACACGTGTCAGGGATTGATTAAGATAATTACAGTAAACTGACAATAAACATTGCAAAACTTGTATCTAACAATTTCTGTTTTGTTTGTCTTGTCTATATTTTGTATATGCCTTTGAAAAAGACTCATTAAGAGTCGAAAGCACTCAGGCTAGTTAGATACTAGTTTTGCACTGTTTGTTGTCAGTTTATTGCATATATATATATATATATATATATATATATATATATATATATATATATATATATATATATATATATATATATATATATATATATATATATATATATATATATATATATATATATATATATATATATATATATATATATATATATATATATTGTTTTTCTGTGATTCCTAGATTTAAGAGACAGTTGAGTTTATTGCTTAAATTTATTTGATCAGTTTCTAATTTTAAAGGAACTTAATTATGTATGGCTTTGGTAATCTCAAAAGAAGTATTCAGTAAATGTAAGCATGTAATCTCAAAAGAAGTATTCAGTAAATGTAAGCATGTAATCTCAAAAGAAGTATTCAGTAAATGTAAGCATGTAATCTCAAAAGAAGTATTCAGTAAATGTAAGCATGTAATCTCAAAAGAAGTATTCAGTACATGTAAGCATGTAATCTCAAAAGAAGTATTCAGGAAATGTAAGCATGTAATCTCAAAAGAAGTATTCAGGAAATGTAAGCATGTAATCTCAAAAGAAGTATTCAGTAAATGTAAGCATGCTTTTTGATCCATCTAAAAACATTTTGATCAGCTGATCACACTTAAGCTATGTGGGTCCCAAGCACCAGAGTGATCTAAGATTCTTGCTCTTACCAGTCATTATCATCTCTAATCTGTCTGCATGAATTTGAGTCTCAGGTTTGGTTAATGTTGTTACGCAAGAAAGTTTGCCAGAAGCTTTCTATGTGTTGGTGGTTCTTCCTATGATTTTACTGGTTTGCTTCTTCCACAAGATATACTGGTTGCCATGCCTATCATGTGAAAAAAAAATGTTGTAGCAACCATAAAGTAAAACTTAGGTTCTTTCTTTCTTGTGGAAATTGCTTAATTAATGTTGCAGCAAACTGAGTCACTTGTATGGCCTTTACCTGGTGCTATTTTACCTGGTGCTATTTTACCTGGTGCTATTTTACCTGGTGCTATTTTACCTGGTGCTATTTTTCCTGGTGCTTTTTTACCTGGTGCTATTATTTGGTAAATTTTCCAGCCTGTAGGTGTGAAGCCATGACTTTGTTCATTGAATAACAATTTCCTGTGTAAATGGAAAATCTTAAGATAGTTAAGGTGTGGTAATAGCGCCCACTGGAGCAGTGCCAATCATAGTATCTTGAAAGAAATCCTTTTGTTAGGCAATGAGAATGAGAATTTAGTTTGTGACATACTGTTGATATAAAGAATGGTGTGGTTTTGTGATTTGCTATGCAGTCAATAAGAAAAAATGCATTATGTTTTTCAGCTCTGTTCCTCATAAGAAATGATTGTGTGATGGAGAGAGTGCCCCCTAATGAAAGAAAATACTTTGTTCATAAAACACCAGCATCAGAGAAAGTCATGTCCCTGGGGGATAAAATCAAACAGAAGTTTCCAGTATGTATTTTATGAAACATCATAATTGTCCATATGCTTGTAATGTAATCCTTTTAATTGTTACTTGCCATTAGAAAATCAGTAAATAGCTGTTACATTTTTAATTATTATTTAGACAATATCAGTTAGGGCTGTTGTCCTACTGTATTATTCTTACTTTATTATTCTTCAGTACTCGTGCTTTTGTATTATGCATTTGAGGATCTGAGGATTTTACTTTGGCAACTGAAGTTTAAGATATATATCATCTATGACATATATTTATAACAGTAGAACTACAAATGTTGTCTTCAAATCTTCAAACATGGAATGATTATCCACATTCTAACAAATCTTAAAGCATGAGACTGTTACCCCATTGTAACAAATCCTCAAACAGGAAACTTGTATCCACATTCTAATAAATCTTTGAGCATGAGACTGTTACCCCATTCTAACATATCATCAGGCATGAGATTTACAGCATTCTAGCAAATCCTCAAACAGGAAACTTGTATCCACATTCTAATAAATCTTTGAGCATGAGACTTTTACCCATTCTGTTACCACATTCTAACAAAAAATCAAAATTGAGAATGTTACCCCATTTTAACATATCATCAGGCAAGAGACTAACCCCATTTTAACAGATCCACAAGCTCAGGTTGTTATCCAGTTATAACAAGTCTTGAAGCATGATGATGTTAGCCCATTCTGACAAGTCAACAAATAAATTCTCAGACATGTGTCTGTTATAACTTTAAATCTTCAAAAATGACTTATCTCATTCAAACAAATCTTTAAGCATGAAACTGTGTTCCCATTCTTACCAATCCTTAAACACATGAGTTATCCCCATTCTAACATATCCTTAAACACATGAGTTATCCCCATTCTAACATATCCTCAGACATGAGAATGTTACCCCCATTCTAACATATCCTCAGACATGAGAATGTTACCCCCATTCTAACATATCCTCAGACATGAGAATGTTATCCCCATTCTAACATATCCTCAGACATGAGAATGTTATCCCCATTCTAACATATCCTCAGACATGAGAATGTTATCCCCATTCTAACATATCCTCAGACATGAGAATGTTACCCCTATTCTAACAAGTCATCAGACACAAGACTGGTTTTGGCCAATTTACTCTTTAAGCACAACACTTTTATACCCCATTCTAATACATTCTCTGACATGAGACTATCTCTGTTCTAACGAATCTTCAAACACAAGATCATCTCCATTCTAATAAATCTTCAGTATGATTCTGTTGTTCCCATAGTAACACATCCTCAAATATGAGACTATTATCTCCATGCTAACACATTGTCAAACTTGAGACTTTTATTTCCTTTCTAACAAGTCCTAAAACCCAAGACCTATATGTTGGAAAATGTTGTTAAATTACTAGTCCATGATAACATATTTGTATTGTAGATTCTACTTCCTTACATTATAACACTTAACCAGTGTGGCAGTGTATTACATTTGCAGATTGATTATTTTTTTTTTCTTGTTTTAATAATGCATCATATTGTTGTATCATATGAATCAGAAAAATTAGTGCATAAAATGAAGTTGAGTCTAAACAATGAAAATATACAGAGTAATCTTTCTTTAACAACTATCTTTGGAAGGGACTACTTTTGGTATTTTCAGGAAGGTGGCTGTTTAGAGATGGTAAAAAAGATTTTCTTTGTTTTTGGTTCATGTGAAAAGAGAATCCATTTTTGGAGTTTGGTTGCATATTATGCAGTTTGTCAATGATGTTGTGTGATGTTAATTTTTAAAATATTTATGTGTAATGGTTGTGAAGAATTGTTGATACATATAGCCTTTATTTTACTTAAGTGCTAATATTTATTTATTGGATGCACATGATTGACCTCTAGTTTATATTGTATGACCTTTGAATTTCAGCTTGGTAGAATAATCAAGTATTACAGTGAATATAAAGGTTTGGATAACATGAAGAGAGCAAAGGTAGAATTAGAAGATTCTTTTAAGCAGACGGTGAGTTTTGCACACATCACACTGGTGAGTTTTGCACACATCACACTAATTCAGTCCTACACTCATACACATAAGTCACAGATAACTTCAATGTTTTAGTATTTGTTTGAGGAATGTGATGTGAGATCAGTTAAAATTTCATGATTCAGGTACCTGCAGTGACCCAGATCATTTTGGAAATACTGGAAAATACAAGTGGATCATTTGCCATTTGGAAAATGCAATTAAATATTTTGTTTGTCATTGGGAAATAAATGTAGATCTTTTTGTCATTGGGAAATACAGTGGTCATCATTTCTTTATAATAGAAAAGTGTCTTATAAGAGGGGTGGCCTTTCTAGAAGAGGATTACATTAATAAAGAATGAAGGCATAGCTCATTTTTAGTTTTGCTAGTTGGATTTTATGGGTTGGTCTGTTTTCTTTCTATCCAGTATCACAAGTTGGTTGTCAAATCTCCACCTAAAATAATTGTTGGATTGCTATGAAACTTTAGACACACATTTGTCCCATGGTCGAGTCGGCCCTAAATGAAAATGATACTGTCATTATGGCTACAGCAGTGGCCTGTTTCAAAATCATGTTATCACTGCTCCTTCTGAATGGTTATATCAACATGGACTTTTTACTGAATGCTATTGGGGGGGGGGATTCATAAAAAGGGAAACCACTGTACAAGTAGCTCTTCAGGTTGCCATTAGAATACTCATTACCATGGGGTAATGCAAGTATATATTGTGTTTGTCATGGAAAATACAAGTGGATTTTTCTGTTTTCTGCTTAATGGATCTTGTTATTGTGAAATACAAGTAGATCTTCTGTTTGCCATTGGAATAAATGTATATCTGCTTACAATCTGGAAATACAAGTAGATCTTCAGTTTGCTACTGGAAATAGGTGGATCTTGTTTTGATTGGGAGATATATGTTTGTTTGTTTGCAGTTGAGGAGTTTAAATAGATTTTACACTTGCCATTAGAAAAATGCATGAATATCTTTATTTGGCCATTGGGAAAAACAGATAGAGTTTCTGTTTACAATTTGGAAAGACATGATGATCTTCCATTTACCATGGGATATACAAGTATATATATTGTTTGTCATGAATACAAGTATATTTTTTTGTTTATCATGAATACAAGTATATTTTCTGGTTGCCATTGGTCTTCCAGGTCAATCTTCTGTTTGCCATTCTGCAATTAGATCTGTTTGGGAAAACCCATTTTGATCTTTTTTATTATTGGGAAATACAGGTAGATCTTCTGTCTGGCATGTGACTGCTCCGGTGGCCTAGTGGTTAGAGCATCCACCTCAGATGCAGGAGGTCGTGGGTTTGATCCCTGGCTGGGTCATACAAAAGACTTTTAAAAATGGTACTAACAGTTTTATCGCTTGGTGCTCAGCATTAAGAGGTTAGTGTTAGGACATCGGCCTGATGTCAGGATAATGTGACTGGGTGGGACATCATGCTACATGTCTGCGGCATGATGCCCGATTGCTAGACATCACTATGAACTGCCACACTGCAGACATCTGTTTGGCATGAGCAGTACAAGTAGATCTTCTGTTTGGCATGGTAGTAAAAGTAGATCTTCTGTTTGGCATGAGAAGTACAAGTAGATCATCTGTTTGGCATGAGAAGTACAAGTAGATCTTCTGTTTGGCATGAGAAGTACATAGATCTTCTGTTTGGCATTAGAAGTACAAGTAGATCTTCTGTTTTGCATGGGTAGTACAAATAGATGCATGAGGAGTACAAATAGGTCTTCTGTTTGGTATGGGGATACAAGTAGGTCTTCTGTTTGGTGTGGGGGAGTACATTTTCTTTCTGAATACATTCCCTAGCCACATTAACATTAAGAAAATAAACTCTGCTACTTCCCAAACCCAACAATCCATCCAAGAATGAAATTTTGTCCTTGTTTTTCTATATGCCCTCTGTACCAGGGAAAGAAAGATCCATTTCCTTCTTTATGCTAACGATAGGTTTTGAGATTTTACTACAGTACTATTAACTTCATTCTGAAGACCTCCAAAAATCCTGTTGTTTGTGTTTTGCATGCACTGCAAATCTATTTCCACTAAGTTAATATTTCAAGAACACTTTGGACTACTAATTCCTACATTTCTTTGTTCTTATTTCACTTAACATGATGATAAAAAGCAATAAATGCAAAAACATATAAAGCTAGCGAGGACACGAGATATGCCTCCATGCAAAAATAGGTGTAGGATGCTCTTACATCAGAAGAATCAGGAGGAACAAGGTTGTGGAAATTGCCAACCCTTAAATTTTTGCCATATACTAGTAGAGCTGCAGATGCCTCACTGGTGTATGAAGTGATGATGGAGTTGCTAAATTCAGGACAGTTTTACATGTATGTCAATTTCCAACCTCCAGTTGTTATTTGGAACCCATGGAAGTGTGTCTCCCCATATCTTGGCAGCCCAGTGGGGATCAGTCCCCTTGCATTTCTGGACATGTGGTATTAGCCTATCTTGAGGATTCATTTCAGTATTCTTTCAAGCTATACAATGTGTTTCATTTGGTCGACTGTGTCCAATACCTGGTGGCTGGAGATCTTTCATTTTGGCAGTACAACACACCGGCCAATTGTGCTGTGGCAGGTGGGACCATGTGGCAATCAAACAGACCATGCCATCCATTTTGCTGCACTTTCTGCACAGGCACTTTTACAACTGACCATCCAACCTACTACACAGTTTGACAGCAATGGATACCAGCCAGCCATCATACTCTCTGGCTATTCCGTCTGACTAAATTTCAGCCAATTCTATGGTCAACCTTTAGAGTGATCGAGACATTCATCACTTGGTGATAATGGCAGTGCCTTATCAAAAGCAAAAATGATGTTTTACATGGACATGGATGTAGACCCTATGAGGATTACTCCCACAATAAGGGGATTCCCATAATGCCTTAACAAATTTAGATCCAGCTGTGGAATCAGCTGAGTTTAGTTTCAAAGCAATTGTCACAGAAATGTACCAGGTGTTGCCAGAATGCACACCACAAACAAGGCTGGTAAGGTGAAAGTGTCAGTAGATATAAAAGACGAGGAGGAACATTTCTTTTTCCACTGTATGCTTGTCAATACAAAAAGGACATTCAAACCATTTGTTAAAAAATGTTAGTGACCAGGGTAATTAAAAACTGTTTTTCTGAGAAAGTCAGCTATGCCGTTTTTCTTCCATAAGTATAGCATGCATTTGGACCAAGATTCTGATTAGGTAAGAATGCTTTGGTGTGAATATGTCTTTCCCACTCTTTTACAAGGCAGACAAGATTGTCTTTCATGTCACTCAAATCTCTTTGTTAATATTGTGACAACATATTCAATGTTGGATCTAGCATCACAACCATCTTTGGCTTGCTGTCACCCACCACACCCAACAATGATCATGCCTGGAAATTGATGGTTAGTATTGCCAAGGTCACTGATGTTCAGGTGGCTTCTGACAGTTTGACATCTGTCTTTGCATGTAATTATTCAAGTCAACCATTTGATGCAACTTGCTTGGGTCACTGTTATTAATTGGTAGTAGGGTAGAAAATTGAGGAAGGAGGCAGCACAGGCACTGACCCTCCAGCTTGCCATGTCTACTGTTCAGACATTTAGGCTGAATCAATCTTGGCCTCAAAGAAGAGATGAATGTTGGCAAAGAGATGAGGCCAATTATTGTCCACTAACCGGCAACAGTTATGACTCCATTTGAGAAAGTTTAATAAAGAAGATAAGAAATTTGCTTTCTCTTTCTACATGTATTGTAACAACTGCCATTGACTCACCACATAGCTGCTGGATGCAGATAGTATACTGATTGGTGCCAGACTATTTCATTTACATCATCATTAGATTTACCTATTTTTGCTAAATAAATGGGCAATCCAAATTGTTTTAGAGAGGCTCAGATTTCATTTATCCAGTTCATTCCCTATCGTCTTCTCCATTTTTGATGGATGTTCCATCCAATTTGGTGAAAGCCACAATTTTGCAGGAGATAAGGTCATTACTTATCAAGCAGATGGTGCAGAAAGTTCAGATGTCAAACCAACCAGTTTTATTCCTGGCTTATTCTAATGTATCAATGCTAACAGAAGGCTTAATCTGATCATCATTCTCAGCCAGATTAACAAATACATTGCAGTATCTAAGTTCAAGAGGGAAATGGCTTGATGAGGGAGGATATTTCATCCAAAAAGACAAGTTTGTGATCATTTGAAACTTGACCAACACATACTTCCATGTTCCTATTCATCCAGATGTGTAGATTCCTTCTATTTGGTTTGCAAGGAAAAATACCAGATTGATGTGTTCCCATTTCGTCTCAACATGAGTAGTAAGGCATTCACAAAAATTTATCAGCTTTGTCATGACCTAGTTCCTGTTGACTGCAGTGCATCTGGATAAATTAAAGTAGAAGGGCAGGAACACTCTTTTATATTACCAAGGCTTTTCAGTGAACTGGGAAAGGTCACATCTCAGCTGGTTGTAGTGTTTTGTCCAAGTTTGGCATGGAATTTTGTCATCAATTTCAATATCATCTGCCTCCCACACATAGGTATGTTATAGTTTAGAGTTGTGTTCAGGAAATGCCTTGTGTAGGATATAACTGTTATAAAACTATACTGTTAATCCGAAATATTTGAGGCTTTTGAAGCTGTTGATTAATTCAATTTATCAAACATTAGCAAATCTGTCTTACTCCCACTTACTGTCTCATACTATTTACAGCAAATAGCCATCAACTCCAGTCTACTTCAGTCTACTTTTTAATAAATCATAATCAGTTTGTATTTGATTTTTGCAAGTTATTCTTTGCATGCATTTAGTTTTTTTTTCTCATTCAGATGATAGCTAGTTTTATTTCTTTAATTTGAATGAGAGCTAGACCTTTTGTATGTTAAGAGCAGTACCAGATATCAGTTTCAGACTTGGATTCTCAGGCACTGGTGTCAGGTTGAAAAGGCTACTATAATTGTTGATTGGAGGGTATAAGCAGCATAAGTTTTGAAACCTGGAAATTGGATATCTTTCATTCAGTCTGATAGTTACAGATAGTCTGCACATTAGCTTTGAATTCATTGTTTTGCTTCCATCTATGGTTTCTACTGCCTCATTCATGACACTTCTTTATTTCTTCCTTGCTAGGAGTTATTTTCTATTGTGTCTCTAAGTGCAGTTTCTACGCTTCAACCCAAACACCTTTTCAAGAAAATAATCAAAAAGCAGATTGTGCAGCTTTTAGACTTTAAAAACCCATTTGGTTTGCTGCTAAAAGTTTATTCCCATCATATGGATAGAGTGCCTAATTTTCATTAGTTAGCTCTTTTTGTTTTCTTTTGGGGCTTGTTTTGAAATTCCTTGTCATGAAATAAAAGTGTTCATACCTTATTTCAGATGTCTTTCAGTAGAATTTTTTTGAAGATTACAGGAAATTGGATTTATATTCAGAGTGTTTACATTTTGTGCCTAGAAAGAAAACGTTTGAAGTGTAAGTCATTTGGCAAAATTTTAATGGATGTTATTTTATTGTCCTAGCCTTCTCTCCAACTCTAATAATAACAATCAAAGAACATTTTTATACATTTTGCTGTGTTGCTTATTTGGTATTATTTTTTTATTTTTGTGGAAATTTTTGTGTCACCCCTGAATCTAATCGTGGCTCATTTGCCTGCTTGTTTACATTATTTTGAGTTGTCATGAGCATACCTTTGAGACATCAGGATATAGGATGTGGTCAGTATTGTTATTGCCATTGCCATTTTGATTTTGCCAAAAGTAATTCTGCAAATACAGGCATAAATTTGCCATATAAGGAATTGGTGAATATTTGTCAAACAGGCTAATACTTGTTATATATTGAATGTTAGAAACAACATTAAGTTATTTGTAAAGTATATATTAAATCATCTTTTTGGCCCGTTTTCAAAGAAAAGACTCCCAAGGCTGAGTTCTTTTGTGATGTTCCTGTCTGAAATAGTGGTAAGTTTTCAAAGAAAAGACTCCCAAGGCTGAGTTCTTTTATGATGTTCTTGTCTGAAATAGTGGTAAGTTTTCAAAGAAATGCTTTCAAGGCTCAGTTCTTTTGTGATGTTCCAGTCTGAAATAGTGAAAACTTTTCAAAGAAATGCTTTCAAGGCTCAGTTCTTTTTGTGATGTTTCTGCCTGAAATAGTGACAAGTTTTTAAAGAAATGCTTTCAAGGCTCAGTTCTTTTGTGATGTTTCTGCCTGAAATAGTGATAAGTTTTCAAAGAAATGCTTTCAAGGCTCAGTTTTTTTGTGAAGTTTCTGCCTGAAGTAGTGACAAGTTTTCAATGAAATGCTT